AATCTCACCTACAGGTTTGCTGATACCATTGTCTCCTTATTCTTTTTGATCTTCAAGGTATTAGCTTTCTATGATTTCATGCTCATTCCTCTAGTTGACATTTCTACTTGCAGAAATACCGGCTGGGAAAGCAGTCCTGCAAGGAATCAACTGATAACTCCAAGGATGGTATTGGCCTTGTATCATTAGAACGGTTTTTACAAGTTATTTTCTTTCCTCTTTTCAATTAAAGTGCTTACCAGAGGCATAATATTATTCTTTAAATAATTTCCCTCTCCTCTGCATGTGAACTCCTCTATTTGTTTTCTTGCCACTTGCATGTTTTGTATTTTTCTGTGCAATCACCATACTGGCAAATGTCTGGATGCAAATTTCTATCTAGTGTCAATTGTAAATAACTACACCTATTTTTACCAAATTTGTCATGCAAGACCCCAAAAATGGAGTGAGGGGTGTCGGGTGCATACCTTGGGTGCCATAGCAGAACCCCTTCTGGTGAAAATTTGTTGTACTTGAAAACTTGCTGATTTAAGGAATGATGTGCAGTTGGGATTGCAGCATCAGTTGCAGAAAGTCAGGATACTGGTTCATCAACTTCAGCATCATCAAGAATGATTGCACAGGATCTTAATGAGTATGCTTTCTCTACCCTTGTTATGTCAACTTGTTCCCCCTCTCCTTTGTTCCCATATTTTCTGCCTTTTATCTTTCAAACAGTGGTTACCAGGTTACTGAGGCTTTGAGAGTGCAGATGGAAGTCCAACGAAGATTGCATGAGCAGCTGGAGGTTAGTTTTCATTCATGTGTTTAACTTGGTTCAGAAAATGTGGCTTTTGGACTTCTAAGATAACATAGAAGCTAGAATTCAATACATCTAAGTTGCTATGAGTTACCCCCCAGTATTCATTTATGCATGAGACAAGTTAAAGCCTCAGTTGTAGAAGCTTTTCACTATTTAATCGCCTCCAATTTAAAGCATGGAAATGTTAACTTCTTATTTGACGTAGAAAATATGAAGAGAGCCTGGCTCACCATGGGCTCATGGTGAGCGAGATTCGTGATACCATTTCTCCATTCAAGGGATTGCTGGAAAAAAAGCTTCTACTGATGGCTTATTACAAGCTAAAATAATTGAAACTTTTGCCTAAAAACTCTCCTTTGTTTCCTTTTGGAAAATAGTCTTTAATCCATGTAGCTTGCAATCTCGGCTATGATTTTGAGCTCTAAGGGTTTTACAATAAGCAGGTACAACGTCGTCTCCAACTTCGGATTGAAGCACAGGGGAAATACTTACAGTCAATACTTGAGAAAGCTTGTAAAGCTCTGAATGATCAGGCTGTTGCAACTGCAGGACTTGAAGCTGCTAGAGAAGAGCTTTCTGAATTAGCAATCAAGGTTTCCAATGAACGTGCAGGAATTGCCCCACTTGATACCAGGAAAATGCCTTCCATATCTGAACTTGCTGCTGCTTTGGAGAACAAACATGCTTCCAATGTGCCTGCTCGTGTTGGTGATTGCTCTGTCGAAAGCTGCCTCACTTCAACTGGGAGCCCGGTTTCTCCAATGGGTGTGGGCGCACAAGTTGCTTCCACGAAGAAAAGATCAAGGCCTGTGTTTGGTAATGGAGATTCATTGCCCTTCGATGGCAACATTCAGCAAGAAGTTGAATGGACAATGAACAATATTGGATGATTAGCAGGGAAATTCCATCCTAGAAACAGAAACTTTTTTGTTTCATTTTTTTTTTAGTTGTCTAGCTGATCTAAATGTCACATCTTAATCAACTTATCGTCAGTGGCCTGTATATTCTTAGATCTTTTGATTAGATATCTTTTTCTTATAACTTGAAACTCTCTCCCTTTCTGCAAAAAGAGTGGCTTGTTATTCATCTATTCAGCTAGCTTTTATAGATGGCATTTATCTATTCAGCTAGCTTTTATAGATGGCATTGAAAAACTGCAATGCATGGAGTTGAATTGAGTTGGAATTATTTCCAGCCTTCCACTTCTGTCCTTGACCATTGCTAACTGGTTTGGATGAGAAAATTGGCTGCAGAGTTTACTGTCCACATTCTAGAAATTATACTTGTTTGGGCACCGTAGTTAATACTTGGCATCTTACAACAGTTGATGAATGCTGAAAAGATCAAGGGATAATTGGTTGTATAGAAAGGATCATTTTCCTTGTCTGCTTAGCAACGAATCCACGAATGATTGGGTGCCTTATCTTTGCTTTCTAGCTTTCTTTCTTTCCCTTTTCCTCTGTTTTTGTTTTTACATGGGTGGATTTAATCCCAACACTCTTGTACCTAGGAAATTGAGTTTTTTTCCCCCTTACTTTTGCAAAATCATGGTCCACAAACACATAGATTTTTCATAATTTTATCTTGTCTTTGGTCTTTTGTTCCCAAAGAAGGTGATGGAAAATCGGAACGTCAGCCTGGATTCGAGCCTTTGTAAGTCGGTGACTTACTTCTATGGTAACCAGATAGGGTAGCCTCAACAACATGAACATTGGAATGATGACTAGACTCATGTCCAAGCAAAAGCTTTATTCTTTCTTAGCTTTATAGTATTTTTTTTTTTTTTTGAATATTCAAGAAAAGGAGAGAGAGTGACGAGTTTAGAATTTTCTGTTTCTGCATTTGTTGTCATAGCCATGATGGCATGTCCACTTAAAGAACCTCATGTTACTTATTCTTTACTTTTTTTGTGCCCTCTTTTGCTTTCTAGGAAATCAAATACTCCTTGCCTCCTTTACCATATTGCACCTCGTGACTCCTCCTTTACTCTCTTGGAGCAACCAGCTGCCTCCTTTCTCTTCTTGCAGCAATGAAAGATTCACTTGGTAAATCTTATCTCGTACTTTCTTTCTGTGCTTCCTTTTCTTTTTCTTTGCTTATATTTTTTGTTGAACTAAGGGATCCAGCAGAAATCCAACTAAATTTAACCCACAGAGATTAATTTTACTGTCAGTATATTTTCTGCTTTCCAGGTCCTAGCATGCTACTGTTTTATCTTGTTTCTGTTTCCCCCCCTTCCTCTGGCACTGATAATCTATAATTGCTCTTTATTAGTCTGTCAATATAATTCCATCTTTTTTTTAAAAAATATGATACAACTGTTGTGATGTTATCACTTTCATGCCATGTGACCTAGACCCCAGAATTTCTTTCATTATAGTGTGTTTCATTACAGTTAATTGATCCATTGATGATATACCAGAACAAGCTTTGCTAGACTGAGAAAGCAGGGTGTAGAATTCCATGTATTAGAACTGTGATATCCTTTTAACTTATGAGCTACATCTATGTCTTCAAAAGAATGGGAATGAATCACACTCAAGGAAGGAATTCTGTTTATAGCATTTTCATTCATTTCCTTTTCCTTGGTTTTTCAAAGTTGCAATGTTTCTTGAACAATTTCTCAGCATGGAGTTAGGGTTCCCTTCTTTGGATAAAACTAGAAATTCATCATCATCAGAGAAGCAATAGAGTTAGAAAGAGGAGAAAGAAGAGATTAAATTGTGTTTAAAATGTAAAAAGACCTTTGTGAAACTTGCTATAATACGAATCTTATGGCTCGTCTCCTTTATTGAGCCTGCATTTTGATTCCTCCTCGTGTCTTGTTTTTAAGGAACATCTCAACCTTGCCCTTCTTTGAAGTCCTTGACATCCAAACTAGGAGGGATGCTTCACCGTTGCGGATCACCAAACAAATATAAGAGGTTGGATGCAAAGCTTGAAAAGAAGCTGATTGAACTTAAGAGAAGTTCATCTGGGAAGACGAATTTCAAATCAATGAATAGTATAATCATGAGGTTTCCCCAGTTTAAAGAAGAACTGAAACACATCAGAGGGGTATTCGAACAGTATGGTAAGTTTAAACAAGGTTGGTTTTCTGGTACGGAGAAACAATGGACTGTTCTTGCACATTGACTCTCTATATCTTTCTCATAGATGAAGATGCAAATGGTAATATTGACATGAAGGAACTAAAAAAATGCTTACAAAATCTGCAACTCAATTTAAAAGAGGAGGAAGTTGAGGATCTATTCCACTCCTGCGACATTGATCAAAGCGAAGGGATACAATTCAATGAGTTCATTGTTCTTCTATGTCTCATCTATCTCCTAGTAGAGCATTCATCCTCTCCACTGAGAGTATCCACGATAAACTCAACTTTACATTCTTTCAACTCTTTTGACGTGAAGATGTTTACTTATTGTGATCAAACATATTTGATGATGTAAGGGTTTCGTTTCAGACGTCAAAGATGGGTTCACCTGAGCTTGAGGCCACTTTTGATACAATAATTAAAGCATTCTTATTTCTGGATAAGAATGGAGCTGGCAAGCTGAACAAGAAGGACATGATCAAAGCACTGAATGAGGATTCTCCATGGGAGAAATCCCCGACACACATCACTAGATCGAGATTCAGTACTCTCTCTTTCACACACTACAGTTCTAACTTTGACTTTGCTACTACTTTAGTTAAAATCCTTTAACCATCCTCTTGGCGGTTCCTGTTAATACATGCAGAAGAAATGGACTGGGACAGGAATGGGAAGGTCAGTTTCAGGGAGTTCCTCTTTTCTTTAATCGACTGGATCGGGATTGATGCTGATGAAGAAATTCCTGTGAAGGGAAGTTAAACCAAGCACAAGAACTTGATCTGGATAACTGTCAATACGAGGTCAGTTTGAAGCATTTGTGTGCCTGCATAAATCATCCCAGACTTCCCAGTGTATATTATTCAGAGCTGTTGCTCCTTCGTCATGTTCAATTGTGAAAGTATTTTATAGTTAGTTTTCGACGGTAAATGTTTCAAATATTCTATGAATCAACATATGATAATTCAAATGTTTATTTCTTTCGCTACCTTACCATGGAGTCCCTTGGATCACGATTCTGGTCGTCCTCTCCTATTTAAACTATGTTCTGAAAAACTCTGTATAAAAAGTGGGCATGGCGGTGGATATGGCAAGACTCTGGTAGCCTATTGAAAAACAAGGCATATACATTGATAGTCTACAGAAGGTGCAAGAAGGAAAATAACCAAAGAACTATAAGTTACCGCAGAAACCTTAGTCACTACCTAGTTGTCACTTGCATTTCTCATTGAATCCCTAGAGCTTGGACTCTTCTAATCATTGACAAAGAACAAGCATTCTTTTGTCTCCATTGTTCTCTACTTTCCGTATTTTGTCCTCTTTCCACGAACCATTGATCATTGCCATCTAGTATCCTTACAATCTGCCTCATGGTTGGCCTTAATTCTGGGTTGGACCTTGTGCATGCAATTCCCAATTTGACAGCTCTGAGCAATTCTTCATGATCATATTCACCGTTCAATCTTATATCAGCCATATCCTCCAGTGGTCTCTTCTGTGCCTCAAACTCATGAACTCTCCGAACCAATAGCACCTCAGGCCTCCGGAAATCAACTGCCATTTGTCCACTGACCACCTCCAGAACCACCACGCCATAGCTATATACGTCAGCCATTGGGGTTGCTTCACCATGTTCTATGTACTCTGGAGACATGTAACCGAAAATTCCACGGACTGAATTATTTTCTTTAGCACCTGCTTTATGGGCATGATCATTTCTTGCCAAGAATTCGGCAAGTGCAAAGTTACCAAGTCTTGGATTCATGTCTGGATCAAGAATGATAGAAGAGTTAGTGATATTCCTGTGGATAACTTGCTCATCCCACTCCTCATGAAGATAAAGAACTGCAGAAGCAAGAGACTTGATAATGTTATATCTGTGGCGCCAAAGCAGAATGGAGTGGCCAATTCTATTGTCATGATGGAAAAGAAGATGACTCATGTGGCGACTCGCTGAATAATCATAGACGACAAGCATCTCCCCTAGTTCTGTGCACCATCCACAGAGTTGAATTAGGTTGCGGTGGCGGAGCCTGCCTAAGTTTAGGAGTTCAGTTGAAAATCGCACGCGTATTGCAGGGCATTGGGTCATGCCAAGTCTCTTCACCAAGACTTGATGGCCATCTTCAAGGATGCCATAGTAAGCAGTTCCGAAGTCCACCTCTGCTACCCTTTGTGAGTCCGAGAAATTATTTGTAGCAGAAGTGATTTCCTTGTAGGATATTTCCCTGGGAGTATCCACCACAAAGAGAGCATTTTGACGGTGACTTCTGTTGTTCGACTTAGAAGAGCTCAGTTTATTAATATTCTCAAATTCTGCAAATTCTGCAGTTTCATATATAGTTTCTTCCAGGGCTGTGACATAGGCTGATGAAGTGAACGAAATTGTCATGTCAGAACTCGGAACGGTGGTGGTCGTGGTGGTTTTCGTTTTGCTTATGCTAGTGTTGCTTGCAGAGGATATAGCTATGTATCTAGGATGTGACTGAAACGATGGAAGAGATGGCAATTTGCCCAAAATGTTGCCAGAAAGTGCTTCCGCAACCCATTTCATGTTAGGCCGAAGCTGCGGGTTGTGGAGTGTGCATAGAAGCCCCAGGTGAATCAAGCGTTCCATATCAGAAAGCCCGAAAGACCCATCTGGAAGCCTATTGTCCCCTGCTTGCAGAAGCTTCCCTTCACCAGATAGCCCCCTTATCCAGTCGAGCAAAACGATCTGATCATCAGGATACGCCAGATCCACAGCCCGCCTCCCAGACACCACCTCTAACACAACAATTCCAAAGCTGAAAACATCAGATTTCGCAGTAGCAACGCTTCGTTTCTGGAAGCTCTCAGGTGGCAAATAACCGATAGTGCCACCTATTTTGGTCGATTCAGTCAGGTGAAACTGGTGATTCTTCATTGAAGGCGTCCTGATTTGGTACTCAAGTTCATGTTCTAACCACCTTGCCAAGCCAAAGTCACCAAGCCGGGCATTATAATGCGAGTCAAGCATTACATTGCTCGTCTTCACATCCCGGTGAATGATCTGTGTCTCCAATTTTTCATGGAGATAATGTAATGCTGCTGCCAAGCCACCAACTATCTTCCTTCTTCGTTCCCAGGAAAGAGGTGCTGCTCTCAGGTTTTCAGGCCTTCTAAACAGCACCCTGTCCAGGCTGCGGTTAGGCATGTAGTCATAAACCAATAACAACTGTTCTTCATGAACACACCAACCTCTTAGCCTGACAAGATTCCTATGTCGAAGATGAGCCACCGCAACCAACTCAGCTGCAAAAGTCTTCTCAAACTGCTCTCCTCTCTCAGACAAGCATTTAACAGCAACAACAGTGCCATCACTTGGTAAAACTGCTCTATAAACCTTTCCATAACCTCCACTACCAAGAACCTCATCTTCACAAAACCCTTTAGACCCTATATAAAGCTCAGCATAGCTGAATATCCTTGGATTAGCACCACCAACCTTCTCAGATAGTTGGATTCCCTCAAGGTCATAAAACAGACCTGGCTGCGGCTGCTGTTTACTTTGTTTATCATGCAGAAAACAACCAATCCATTTCGAGTCCTGTAACCGGCGTAGTGAATCACCTAGGAAATGAAGTATTTGGCTCCCACAGCCGCGGTGCCGGTCCTTTCTGACACCATCTTGCATGGGTTGTGGGATTCTGGGGTCCTCAAATGGCTTGATTTCCTCCAAATCAGCAGGTAAAATGATGCAAAGGCGGTTGAGTTGCATGGTTTAGGTGCCTGGAAATGGACTTGATGGGCATGGAATGAAGGTGGCAAGTAAATGAACGAGACTTGGCTTGCTCATGCGTACATTATGTGAACACTTAATGCCTTTCTTTGAGCCTGTGCTTTAAAGTCAACACGGTTAGGTTGCCTTGTGGTTGAATTTTATGCCATCAGCCGGCTTGAAAAGAGCCCATCCTTGTCTTGCCAAAAAGAAGATTCGGCAATATTTAATCTTCGCTTTTTATAGTCTATATTTTCTAGAGCAAAAATAAAATTCTTTCGTGTTCAAAACGAGGGTATGCTGGTCATAAACGACACCTTCGAAGAACACACGGTCGTGATGGTCGCAATTTTTATCTTACAGGTTTAGATTATGTTTAGTATTGTGATAATTATTCTAGTTATAATTTGAAAAAAATAATTTTATAAAAAATAATTTTAATTGAAATTAATTTTAAAAAATATATGTTTAATTAAAATTATGATTGAAACTAAAGTTAAACAAAAAATAATTTAATGTGTTTGGTTAAAAAAATACTTTTCAGGTTATAAAATAATATATATATATATATATATATATATTGATAGTTTTTAATTTAAATATTGTAGATTTAATTACTGTTATTATATCATAAAATAAATAATATTGATATCAAATATTTTTTTATTATTTCATTAAACTACGTGTAATTTCATCACGTACAAAATCTATCCAACAAGGACTATATTTTTCATGGTTTATTAAGCGAGCAATAAGATCAGTTAAAAATATTATTAAATTCAAAATGTGGATTGCAATCAAATTCTGCAAATACTACGATATCAAGTGATCTCGTTCTAATTTTTTGAATAAAACACAATTAAAAATAAAAATAAAAACTGATTTTTTTAACTGGGTCGGAGCCATTAAGAATAAAATTGGGATTGCAATCAAATTCTGTAAATGTTACGTCATCAAGTGATCTCCTTCTAATTTTTTGAATAAAACATAATTAAAAATAAAAATAAGAATTAAATTTTTTTAACTAGGTCAGACCCGGTAAGAACAAAATTGGGATTGTGATGAAATTCTGCAAATGCTATCTCATCAAGCGATCTCCTTCTAATTTTTTGAATAAAACACAATTAAAAATATAAAAATTAATTTTTTTAACTGGGTCAGACTCGGTTCAATATATTTAGCTTTGAACTAGACTCGGTCGGTCCAGAATAGTAACAGGAACAGTGGAGTCACCCTCCACTATACCCTCCATTGTTCACGTGAACACTGGAGTTCACTCTCCACTGCGTTATGCAGGTTTGTGAAAAGCAGTAGAGAGCTACTTTCCATGAACTTATGATTTAAACTTATTTTAACCAGCTCCACGTGCATGATAAATCATGATTTTTTTGTTACCAAATATTTACAAGCTGCGATTTGCTTTAAAAGCAATCGTAGCTAGATAAACAAACACCCACTTAGTTCAAAACCCTCCCTAAACCTAACTTATAACTAAGCCTATTTACAACTCACATTAAAAAAACATTTTTAGACTGTAAAAATATTTAAAAATGAAGGAATGCTATTCTTGTATAATTGTCCTGTTCACATTAAATATGTGGATTTTAACTCTTAATTGATATTTTTATGATAAATAAATTTTGTAAGAAAATGATAAAGAATAACATTATTGTTAAAAACATATCTATTAAATATGATCTAGATGTTGACTCGATACAAGCTTGGATTACAAGTTTGGCAGGTATAAACACTAAAATCTTAACAAGTTTGGCCTATGAACCAAGTTTTTTATGACTAAATTAATTAAATTTATTGGGGTTGGAACTTAAATTAAATTTTTTGGGTTTTGAGTCAAAACTAAATTAAAAAACCCAATTTGAATATAGTTCATAATTTTTACTTTAATATATTTCTAATTAAGAGTATTATAAGAAGTTTTAATATCAACTTTTCTAAAAATCATTTAGATAAATAATATTTGAAATAAATTGTATCTTATTTATTTATAAATAGACAATTAAATTATCAAATCAAACATAAAAACAATCAATAAAGACTAAATACTAAGCACAAAAACTTGAAAGTTTTCTAAAAACAATTCAAGTCCATCCAAAAAAAGCAGCAGATGTTCAAAATCGTTTCTTTTATGAAATCAAATCAACAAAACAAGGAACGAAAGCCATTTCCTTTAAAAAATCAAATCATCGTGATTAAAAATGTGTTAAAATGGAGTATTCGAAATTTCTCTTGCTTGCCTTTTCCCTCTAAATCTTTTGAAATGGGAGTCTTAAATGAAGTAGGTGATTGGGATGCACTTAATACGACATGTATAGTTATAAAAGTGCAATTAATTCTGTTAGGTTAGAGGTATTTGTTCATATGCATACAATAGTAAGACAAACATAAAGCTGTGGATGTCTCTAGAAAAAATTCATGAAAATCAGAGAGAGAGAGGATGTAACAGGACATCCAGAGGGGTCCTAGCAAATTAATTTCGTAAGATCACATTCAAATTCAAAAAAAAAAAAAAGAGAGAGTAAATTTTTGAATATTGATTAATATCACAAACATATCCTTGCATTTATTTTCCTCATCTTAAATAATCAAACACATTTATTTGTAAATTCTTTCCTAGAACAAAAAACCCTAATGAAATATCATAATCATGTTCATGCTGTGATTAGATTGAATTTCTATGCTTGCAATTTCTGAGATGAGCACACTGCCGTAATGCATATATTTTGAGATGGGACAAACTCTCGGCAAGTAGTGCATATATTTTGAGATGGGACAAACTCTTTTGAACACGTTCCTTGGTCTAATAATAATGACGATTCACAAAAAGTGAATAATCAAAGTACTCGTTATCATACAAATTGACAAAGAAAAAGTCTAATTAATCCAATATCAATCTAATTATAAGATTCTTTTCACTTGAAATTTTGGAAACATAAATCCCTTTCAGACACGGTGGTGGGCTTGGTACAAGGTTAAAGAACAGGAGATGAATCGTTGCATAGGTAGTCATTACAAGAACAATTCCTATAAAGATTAAAAGTTGGTTTTAAGGATGTTAGGTGTATCCATAAATTAAAGGGTTAAATGTTAGTAAAAAAGGAAAACAACTAAATTATTAGTAATGGTTAATGAGAAACAATTAAAAACTAATTTGATATGTATTTTTTTATATAAAAAAAGAAGGAGATAAAAATGAAATAATATTGCTTACTTGGAGGGTAATATTAATTCTTATTTAACCAATTTTTATTTGTGATCTTACTAAATTTACACCGCCTACTAAGAACTTGACAGATTGAAATCACCTGGACACGACCAAAGGCGCAATTAGTGCTCGGAGGTTTGTGCCAAGAGTCATTGACACAATCATGATATTAAGACTTTGGGACCCTTTTAATCAAAATTAAGATTGCATGGCAGCGAAGACCTAAGTAAGGGATTGTTGGCATATAGTTAATCTTATGATTATGTTATTTATTCGTACGTGACGCCTGTTTGTTCGAGTCTGGCGATGTAGGTTGCCAGCCATTTTGTTTTTTGTATCGATTAATGATATATAATACATGGTCCCTTTTTGGCTTGGAACTTAGTGGCATATTTTTTAATGTGGGGTACGTACTTGTGCTTTGCTTTGCGTCTCAAGTTGTGCCAAAATCTGCTAGCTATTAGCTGTAGCCATTGAAGCTCAATGGGATGTTATTTGAATTTTTTACCTTTCCATTTATGGTGCTGTTTCGGGGCTTGAAGAGGAAGAAAAGGAGGAAAAGAGGAAGAGGTTCAAATCAAGGGAGGGAAAAAAGAACCTGAAACAAAAATCGCATCAACTTTTTTATTTTATTTTATTACTAGACAGTTTTTTTTAAGGTAATGTTTTATTATCTCATAGTAGAAGAGATGAAGATAATGGAGATAGAAAATGGACATGTTTACTTGTAATTGTAATTAAGAAGCTTGAATTTCAAAGATTCTTTTAAATCTTTAAAACTATTGAAAGGAATAGAAATGTTAAACATTTCAAATCAAACAAAGAGAAATATGAATATAAAAGAGGAGGTGATTAGGGTGTCATGGAACACTTTATTCTAAAGTTCATGTTTTAACTTAAATACAAAAAAGATTATATATAGGATAAACTAAAAATACTATTCTACCCTTAAAAAATAAAATAAAATAAATATATTTCTTAACATCACCCTTAAACTCACGATGCAGCATCTATAAGCATCGAGAGTTTGCCAGCTAGAAAACAAAAACGGGAAATGAAATGTAACTTGGTAAAGAAATCTACAGCCTGCAAAAACGAATAAATAAAAGACAAAGTAATGGTGTCATGCTTGAGATGATGTCAAGCAAGATGACAATCGATCTTAAAGTACTTAGTTTGTTCATAAAAAATTAAGTTGCTAGCAATCTGAATAGAACTCTGATTGTCACAATACATTGAAGTATGATGAGAAAGGAAAACTCTCATTTCTACAAGTAACTGATTAGTACTTAAAAGTGTATTTTTATCATGATTTTATATCATCATTTTGCACTTGAAGTATTAATAACTCCTTAACTAAAACATGTTTTATAATAATATATCTAATAATATAAGATACCTTTAATTTATGGTAAATGTTCATTTTAAATGCAGGCCTATCACATAAATGAAAGAATTGATTGATGACTTTAAGAACTTAAATTGCAAGGGCAAAGAGATGACCAAAATTAGAAAAGAGATGTCGGTACAAACCAAACCGGAACACTGTTCGGTAATTGGGTCATATCTGGAGCTATAGATCTCAGATTTAGGTCTACTTTATATGGATGGAAAGGTAAGACATAGGCCTACAACTCTCATATGGAGCCCAAGATCTAAAAAGGCCATTTTCAAGTCCAAATTGTAGCAACAACAAAGAAGCCCGAATTTGTCCTCCAGCCCAAGCACTGTTCAGTATTTTGGCCATATCTGGAGTTCTAGAAGTCCAAATGAGCTGAATTTTTTACACAAGAATGAGACAATTGCCTACAACTTTCATGTTTTTAAATGACTCCAAAGAAAGCTGAGACAATTGCCTACAACTTTCATGTTTGCAACTGGCTCCAATTTTGACGTTATCAATGACGTTTTGGGCAGACAAGAGAAGATAAGGATTGTCACCAAGTCAAGAGTTGGCCACCCACTCATCAATTAGTCATCAAATCAATAGTTTCCAATTTTGGCCTATAAAAGGAGGCATTTGCCATGCATTTAGGCATCTTGGTGTCCAGATCAAGATCATGCTCTTGCTTTCTTTCTTT